GCCCTTTGGACACTCAGTTTTATAGATATAGAACCCGTATATAATTTATATACGGGTTCTATTTCTATAAAACTGAGTGTCCAAAGGGCCCAATAATAAGGTACTTTGGTTGAGGATAGTAGTTATTTGGGTTAATATTCGCGAGAGTATATGATTATGAGGTACTTGGACCCTTAGGGTAATTTGAGAGGCTTTCTGGTTGGGAGTTTCTGGGTTTTAGGGTTTAAGACCTTCAGTGGATTATCGCTGCCCCAGCCGAGGGGCTGTGCACGGCGGCGGCAAAGGTGAACGACACCTCAGGCGGGGATGGCCGAAACTCCCGACACAAAGAGTAGTAGTGCTGCTTCTGCTAGTTCCCCTACTCCTACAGCTGCCACCGTGCTGATAGTGGCAACAAATGCAGCAATCAGCAAGCGTATGAAAATCTGCTTTGCGCTACCCTGTACCAGCGCCATTTGCTCAAGTAGTCTATCGGTGGCGGCTCGATGTTTCAGCGAAGGCATTCAACCAACTATTGCGATAGCTTTGGATGCAAACGCTGGGGTCGTACTGTACAGGCCTTAATAATTAGACTAGGTTTGGCGGGTCTATTATACTATAATAATTATACTACGGAAGCCCCAACATAGTATGGGTAAGTATTTAGGCCCCTATATTGGATGGTGTGTTTTGGGGGCTTAGGGGTTCCTTGGTTTCAGGGCTTAGGCCTGACATGATCGTGGAGGAAGGTGTTTTGGGCGGATACACAGGCCAAAACCACTACTCCTGTTATGGGTTTAGGGTTTAGGGTTTAGGGTTTAGGGTTTAGGGTTTAGGGTTTAGGGTGCGATTTAGCAAGATGCCCTGAAAGTGGACAGCTCAACAGAACGGTACAAGTTTATGAACAATCTAACGCCGTGCATAGACGAATCTCCAAGGCAACGGAGAATAAGACAGCGCTGAGTGCGTGGAAGCCGAAGCACCACTTCAAAACGATGGCTCCTTCTTCTACAGCTCCCAACTTTTCGGTGTACATCTTCATAACATTAGACATGTACCCTAAGCACCTAAAGTCTGAAAACTTACCAACCCAAGCAGTCTAATGTTCTTCCATTGGAGAAGCAAGAGTGGCGGCTCCTCCTGCCTGCCCAGACGAAATCGAGTTTAGGGTTAGGGTTTAGCAGAGACAGAGAGAGAGAGAGAGAGAGAGAGACAAAGAGAGAGAGAGAGAGAGAGATAGAGAGAGAGAGAGAGAGACGCGCACACACACAGAGACACAGACAGGAACGTCGCTTTGTAGTAATAAAAGCTCTCCAAAAACTCCCTATGCAACTATGCCAGTACCAGGCTGCCACAATCAGGAAGGTGCCGGTGTCCCGCATCGCCCAAATTATCGGCAGCAGCTTCTCCTGTAGCGAAGGAGGCAAAGTTTGGGGGTTGCAGCTTCTGGAGTGCTCCCGAGGAGACGCGATGCAAGGGACCGATGCACCCGCCCTTAGGATTTAGGGTTTAGGGTTTAGGGTACCCTGGGAGAATATACCCAAGCAAGCTCAGGTCCCGAATCGCAGAATCCCCGAAAAACCGTCGGCGACAAACGTGTGTAACCCCAAGAGAACCTCGATCAGAACACACTCAACCCAAAACGAATCTGCAAAGCCTACGCCCAAACCCCAAGCCGCAAAACCGAAGCCCTGAACCCTAAACCACAGGTAACCGTTACACTACGTAAGTCTTGACCCTAAACCCCACAAACACCCATGACATCCTATAGGTTGTGAACGGGTCTAGTAACTGTAGGGGGCCTGGATGATTGGAACAGGGTTTTGGTGTCCATTATACTATGATTATAAAAAGAAGTATAATACGAACCCCAAAGCCCTATTCTATTTATTAAGGCCCCTTTTTTGGGGGTTGAGGCTCTAGGCCAAGAATGCCCCAAACCATCCCAAACACCAAGTTAGCGGTTGGCCAAGTCTCGCTGAATCCCCATGCAGCGACACCTCTCAGCCTTCGAAAAGTTGGCCATGGTGAAAACGGGTTTGGGCTTAGGCTTCTAGGGTTTAAGTTGAGTACTGCCCCCATACAGTAACAGTCTATAATAGGGCTATTATTAAGGGCCTAATATATCCATAATATAAATATTATCCAACTGTTACTGAGTGGGGGCAGTACCCAAGGTTTAAGCATTTTTACTGGGCTTTACTTTCGCAGAACGGGGGCCTAAGCAGCGTTGTACTTTGAAGGCCTCGGAAAACGTTGCGAATATGTAAGGAGCACGACCTGCCCCAAAAAACTCCACCCTGCTTGCGAGGTGGACGTTTGGGGTTGTCCCGGACCTTCCGTATGTATGACTCCATACGTCCCCAAAGGGTTTAGGGTTTAGGGTTGAGGGCCCCAAAAACCTTAAGGCCCAAAAACATCCGAAACCCTAAACCCTGAGCCCAAAAGCCCAAAAACACCCTAAACCCAAAGCCCTGGAGGCCTAAACCGCCCAAGGGGTCGGTGGGCTCAGGGAGAAGGGGTTTACGGTTGAGGGCTTAGGGAAAGGCCAAAGGCATTTAAGTGGGCTTTTTGGTAGCTTCAGAATACGAAGGACCCAAACTTAAAGACAAATCCGTATATCAAAGATCAAGACAAATCCTTATACTAAAGATCAAGCTCCTCCAACCTCTGAGTTTTCGTTGGTGGGGTCGAGCAGGGCTTTCGTGGCTCGGGAGATGGTTCTTTTCGGGCTTGGGACAAGGTGTATGCTCGCTGGGTAATGTTAAGGCCTTAAAATTAGAACAGGGTTTTTGGGTATATTATACTACAGCTATAATAAGGAACCCCCCAAATAGTATAGGTTATTATTTAGGCCCCTGTATTACTGGTTTAGGGTTTGGGGTTGAAGGTGGGCAAAGGTCGTAGGCTTCAAGGGCTTCCTTCCGAGAGGGCTGAGAACGTTAGGGTTCAGGGTTCAGGGTTTGGGGCCTTAACGGCTTCAGGGTTTAGGAGTTTAGGGGTTTAGCAGTTTCGGGGTTTAGGGGTTTAACGGCTTGGGGTTTCATGGCGCTTGGGTTTCGGGCGAGGGCCTAGGGCTTGGGGTCCAGGGTTTCAGTAGGCCGCAGAGCCGTCCTCAAGAATCAACCAACCCCTCAAGTTTTGCTTTTTGTTTGTAGCTTTGGGCGTGAGCTAGAAATTCGAGTTTCAAAGTTTCGCTGGTTCTTTGTAGCTCTGGACAGGATTTCCAGCTGTTGGGTGTTGTGGGAAGGCGACGCCGAGTGGCCAGTAGAGCGCAGAGAGCCAGACCAGCGTGAAATAGAAGGCGATGAGCGATCCTGGGCTTCTTTTAAATGGCTATCTTGCTTTATAAAATTACTAGCACTGTTTAGTACTGTATACTGCATTATTAAGTTTCTACAGTGCTACATTCTGGATTAGTGTTCTTCTACATTCTATTGCCGGTTTCTCGCCTGTGGGGTTTAGGGAAGTTTTGCATGTGGGGTTTAGGGAAGTTTTGCACGCCGACTCTAAGATAGACACCACCCTTATACAAGGCGCTGAAGCGCAATGACTCATGAGGCCAATGAAGCTCTGCATTACGATGATGTTTCTATGGTGCCGTTCATGATGATGATGCTGATGATGATAATCATGATGATGATGGTGGTGATGTTACTAGCTGATAACCATAAGGGCGAAGAATGATATCACTATCCTTAGCATGGTAGATAGGCGACAATAAGGAGCACCTTGGAGATATGCTTACAGCAGCAATGCGGTGGTTGTACGGATTCCAGACGCTGGCTACTTCCAGCAGTGGTGACAGTAAGCATGATGGTCGTAACTCTAAGACGCGCTACACCGATCATATGGACAATGGCGCACAGTGCTAATGCCCAATGTGAAACCAAGCAATACGGAGCAGCCGTCAGCGCTGAACAAACAGACTGGCAATCACAATGTGGAATGACAACGGCCGGCCAAGGTGAGTAGTGACTGTAAGCATGCAAGAAGGTGTTCTTGCCACATTTGTACTGCGAACGGTCCTGCTGGCAAGATGACCAGCAGTTGGGCGAACGGTATGCTGTTCTCTGTCTGCCCACATTATTCTACAGATCCCTCGGTGCTCAAAGCAGAGCAGCCACGGATGCTTAATTATGCCGAGGGTCGCCGGATCGGCCAAGCGTTGAAGGGCCCGTCAAAGGGCCACAGGAAGCCCCTCAGCTTCACAAGAAATGCCCCAGAGAGTCACACCAGGATTTAAGTAAAATTGTGTGAGTCTACCCTTAAACCTGAGACCCTGAGCCTTTAAAAACTAAATCCGTAACCCTTGAACCCAAAACCCTCTGACAGTCCAAGATGCAAGGCCAGGCCACTGATCGAGAGATAAAACCAGTCCAGGGCGGTGTGAAACGAGCAGACAGTCCTTGGAGCGGAAATCCAAGGTTTAGGGTTTAATTGAACCTCTTCTCGACTTAGAGTTGAGGCTTGTTAGTTGAACACGTGAGGTTTGAAGGTTTGGAGATATGCGAATCTTGAGCAGGTTCGTTACTAACAACATTCCATAATCGCTTTGATACAACTTAATTGTCGCGGCAGTCGAAAACCTTTGCAAACAGAGTACCTGCTATCAGTTTTGCGAATAAGATAAAGTCTCAAACAAGCCAAAGCCCAACGGATCCTGTGCAAAACAACAACCTCACGGAGCAAACTGGCTCATGTTCCTGGCACCTCCCGGTATGAACAGCTTAGAAACCCCAAAGGTCACAGTCCGAAACACCAACTATAAAAACCCCAAGATTGCCAATCACTAAGCTTCGGGTTTGGGGTGTTTAGCTGAAAGAAGTCGTGGGCCGGTAATCCGATAAGTAGTCAAAGTCTACACACAACGTCTGAAGCATTCCAGGATTGTTCTATGGCCGCCATGCGCCACATGCGTTTATGGTACATGGAAAACATACGTGCAAAGCGTGTAGGCGCTGCCGCCAAACGAGCGGAGTAGCGAGGGTGCTTTTGAAGATATTGCTTCAGACCCAGGAAGTCTACTGTAAGTTGGGAGGAGTAGAAACTAATCCTAGCAAAAGCGGGGTGGAGGACCTCTTTTATGGTTCTTCTGTATTCCAACCCTATGTTTAAATCCCGGATAGAAAACAACATGATGTATAGGGTCGTTGTGCGGAGTAGCCAGGCTTGTGGTTAGCTGCTGGAACTGTTCACCCGTCAGGATTTGGGAAGGGATTGTTGGATAGTTAGCCTTTGCCCAGACTACTTTGTTCGGAATCCTGGAGTAGTATGCTGCTTTGATCCCTACAACTCTTCTGAAGAATTGGCAGTACCAGGCATCTATTTTTCTGTGGTGTTTGTCTACTAATGTGAGGGAGGATAATCCGTAGAGGAGTACTGAGACCACGTAGGACCTAAAAACTGTGAGCCTGATTTGTTTGGGGACCGATGCCTTCCAAAAGGGTGAGAGTTTATTTGCTTATGCTATATGTGTCTGGAAAATCCTGTGGCTAATGGCTTCCATGGTGGGGTTGGTCCAGGATATCATGGATCCTAGATAGCTTGATTTCTATCATTTACAGGTGTGGGTGTTGAGTCAATGAAGGCTGGCGGAGCATTCCAGGTTGCGGGAGAGGGTTTCGGGTTTCGGGTTTGGGTCCCTAATCCGTTTGCATGGGCTTCTGCTGCCTGGAACACAGAAGCTCGACAGCATGTTAGGGCCCCAGACAGAGCGTAGGATCCATGCCACAGAGACCCCAATACTTACGGAGCTCCTATTTTCACAATACCAGAGGATCAGATCCAACTGCCAAGGCTCTGCATTAAGCACGAAAAGGATGGAGGAGAGCACCTGCATCATCCGAAGGGTTCAAGTTTTACTTGCAAAGGCCTCTCTTAAGCTTGGGGCTGTCTTAAAGAACCTCCTATGAGAGTTTACGGCTTTAAGGTTTGGGGGCCAGCTGTGTCTGTAGGTTACGAGCATCCGCGTTCTTTTGCAGCTCTGTGATGTGTTGATCATCAGGGCTTTCGGGCTCTGTGGGTTTTTCAGGCGACGTTCAGGTTGTGTCTAGAAACGGGCCCGACAAGGGGCCCTTATTTTCAAAAACCCCGGACAAGTGAAGTGCCCAAGCACAAAGTATTCATTGTCTTATTGCGACTATTGCTCAAATGCCTGACACCCCCCAAATCTTGCAGTAGACTTGCGCTCCAAGCTAAACATGCAAGCATAAACTTTGCAATGCGCTTGTCAAGCTAAATTATTGAGTCGGACTCCCTTCCACATCGCCAAGCTCCCTCGACACCGTTACGTCAATCTCGACATCTCAGTGTTCGAGCTTTGTGAGGCTTTGTTTTGTCATTGGGATGTGCACGTACAAGGCTGGATGTGAGGCATGAATCAGGCATGAAGCAGTCTAGCTCTAATTTCTTCATGTGCGGCATTTACAGAGGGTCAGGTGCTACTTAAGTTCAAGCGGTTCAACTTAGGCTTTCGGGTTTCTGTGTTTCACGCTTTACATAGGGCTTTGCCTTACAAGCTTTCCAATTCATGGCTCGGGTGCATGGATCGCTAGGTGCAGTGCATGAACCCCACAAGCTCCAATTCTCCAGCTGTGCCTCTTGGAGGAGTCTTTCGATTCTTCCGGCGTAGTGGGCTTCTGCGTGGCCTGTTGCCGGCGTCGGGTTGGCACCGGGACATTGGAGTGCTGGTTTGTGGGGCGAGAAGAAAAAAGGTTAGCAATCATTTGGACTATGGCAAGACTAATCGCAACCATCCCCACCATGAAGAGCTAGGAGCATCACAGAGAATTCTTTGCCCGTGGTGGTTGAGTCTAGTAGTGATCAGGGCTATCCCAAAACTCTCCGTAGAAGGCTTTGATGTTCGACACTCTGCTGACGTGGGGGCCAACCTTGGGACCGGAAGACGGGTCGGTAACACTTGTCCCACTAACCAGTCCTGTCCTACTGTTGATGATATAAATCCTGCATTACCTTAAGGACCCTGGACCCTAAACTATAGAATTATGGCATATTCCTTAATATGGGTGACGCAGGACCTATATCATCAACCGTAATAACCTGTCTTGTCCCATAATTCCTGACGGTGAGCATTCGTACAGTTGTTCCACGTGTCCCATCACGTGCCAAACCTCTCGAGCGAACAAATATGAGAAATGATCAATACCTCCACATGTATAGTGAAGGTATAGTGTTTACGCAAGATTTCTGTTTCCAAGATCGAGCTGTTAGCGGTGCAAAATGCAGTTTTGGTGAAAAACCGTTTTCGCACACTCCCTTCCAAGATCTCCCAGGAGATGCCTCGCTCCGAGGCGTCTGGAGCTGCTCTTTGGACTCCTCTGGTGCCTCTCGTGCTTTTAGGGTTTAGGGTTAATTTACATGCTTCGTGAGCCTTCTGCTTTTGGTTTTCAAGCGTTTGGAGGTTTCAGGCTTCTAGTGGCCATCCTAGGCTCGAGCCCGAGAGTCCTGAACTCAACTCCCGGCCTCTAGAATTTTCTGAAGGGCTCACTAAAGATCCCGAAGCCGAGGCCCGGGACATGATTCCCAAAGTCGACACCCTCAGGATTGGTCGCATACCGAAGCCCTGCTGGAGTACGGTTCCCACATCTCACCTTCCCGTGCCGGCGGCAACAGGAGCACCAGTACACGACGAGCTGGTACAACTCCTCCGTAAGCCTCGTTACGTCAAACTGCCGAAGGTTTTGGGAGATTGATTGGTCCAGGGATCATTTGGTCTGGGTTTCCTCCTTTTAGGGCTTCGGGCTGGGTTTACCACTTTTTGGGTTTCGGGCTTCTTTCAAGCTCACCTTTTGAGGGTTTCGGGGTCCGTTTATTCCGTTTAGGTTGTGGGCCTTCTTGCATTAGGGTTTCGGTCTGGGTTTACTCCTTTTAAGGCTTCGGCCTGGGTTAAGTCCTTTTTAAGGTTTTGGCTTTCTTTCAAGCTTACCTTTCACTTCTTTTAGGGTTCGGGGTCACTTTGCTCCGTTTAGGTTCTAGGGTGTCGGCTTGGGCTAGGGTTTCGGTCTGGGCTTACTGCTTTTTGGGGTTCGGCCTGGGTTTACTCCTTTTAGGGTGTCGGGGTCCGTTTACTCCTTTGGGTTTGCTCCTTTTAGGGCTTTGGCCTCGGTTTACTCCGTTTAGGGTTTCGGCGTTCTTTCAAGCTTACCCTTTACTTATGGTAAGGTTTCGGGGTCGCTTTCCTCCGTGCAGGTTTTAAGGGTTCGGCTTTCTTTCAAGCTTACCTTTTGCTTGCTTCTCCTTTCAGGGTTTGGGCCTTCTTTCATTAGGGTTTCGGTCTGGGTTCATTTCTTTTAGGGCTTCGGCCTGGGTTTACTCTTTTTAGGTTTTCGGGTTTCTTTCAAGCTTACCTTTTGCTTCTTTTAGGGTTTCGGGGTCCGCTTACTGCTTTTAGGATTTGAGCCTTCTTTCATCAGGGTTTCGGTCTGGGTTTTCTTTCACGCTTACCTTTTGCTTATGTCAGAGTTTCGGGGTCATGTGTACATATATATATATATATATGCATGTATGTAGCTATATATAGATATATTCAGACTTGTATGCATATATACATATAAAAATAAATAGGTATATGTAGATACATGCGTTTCGGTCTGGGTTTACTTCTCTTTTTCCTTTTCTTCAACTTTCGGGTTTCTTTCAAGCTTACGTCAACGCAAAGCGAAACCCTACCCTGGAAGCTCTCTTGCCAGCCGTGGACGGCTTGCAAAAAGCGGCTTTCGCTCGAGAAAAAACACAGGTCAAACACACAAAACAAAAGCCACAAGTGACTCCCCTTCCCGTTGCCCGCTGCGATTGCCAGAAAAGTGTGCCAATGCCGAAGATGTGGCCATGCTAACAGATCCAACCCCAAAAGCCCTTATAGTGACTGATAGAAAGACTTATCTTATCTATGGAACCCAGATCTTAAAGCCTGGAGACCCCTTTCGCAACTCTGACAGCCGCAGCCTCCGCAAGCTGCGAAGTCCCACTTCCGGTGCTAAGATCCCAATTCCTAAGCCCTATGCCGGCCTATACCCCTGAACGAACAGACTCCTAGCCTTACACCGCACCCCTAGACCCCTAAACCCTAAACTAAACACAGGGCACGGCCTCTTTAACCAAACCATCGACAGGAGAACAAATGCGACGGCTGACACCTGACAGAGTCTTACAGGGACTAGGGTTTATGGGTTTATTCATGGGTTTGGGGTCGGGTTTAGGGGTTCGGGGTTTAGGTTTTAGGGTTCAGGGTTTAGGGTCTGCCAAAGTCTATAACAACGTCGCAGCTGGAGGCGTACTTCTGAAGCCTAAATGACTAGTAAGGTCCAGTAAGGTTGTGAAGTGGATATCAGTGTTGTGCAAGTCATTGTTCAAGGCCCCTTGAATTCGAGACGGCTTTGAGAGGGCACGATCCGAAATAGCCAACACCACCAGACCCCGAACCCTAAACCCCAAACCAGCAGACCCTAAACCCCAAAGCCTGAACTACCGGAGCCTAAAAATCCCACCCTAAACCCTAAGACATTAGACCCTAAACCCGAATCAGGCAAAATCTAAACCCTATACCCTGAGCCTCAAAACCCTAGAGCCTGATTCCCGAAACCCTACTCCCGATCGTAGGTGTGGAGCGCTGGTATCCAAACCTGATCCAAGGCTTCTCCCCTTCCAGCCCTTTAGGTTTATGGTTTCGGTTTAGGGTTTAGGGTTTGGATCAAGGGTAGTTCGTTGCAAGAGTGCCCAACACCCACCCAACCATGATCCCTAAATTACGACATGGACCCTACGTCAACTAAGCGAAAAACTAACCTTAAACCCTAATCCCGAACGTCTAAGGTCTAGTGCCTGCAATATTGTTGAATTCCTTGCGGTGTGTGAAAGCATTACGAGCGCCCTTACCCTTTCAGATCCCAGCGACAAACGTGTAAACCATTTCATTGAAGTCTCAGAAGCCAACACCCCGCGTGCTATGGATCAAAAGTATTTCAGGTTTCTGGAGCACCCCTAAACCCCAACGCTTCAAGGAATCCTTATTAATGGAGTGCCTGACCACCCGTGTCCGGGAGTTCCGCGGGTCTCGCGTCGCGAAGGCTGGCGCTCACCACGCAGGTCATGACCACTTGGAAAAATGCCCAGAAGACGTGCCACATGTACCAGACCTCAGACCAGCTTGTCGAGATCCGAATTTTCTCAGAGGGGTCGGGGCCGTAGGTGCGAAATTTCACGACCGAAAGTCCTTGGACTCTTTGGCGTTACATGGCTGAGAGCATGCCCCTTTTACCTGTGACGACCGCCCGTAATGCGTTAATCATGTGGTTGCTATATAGAAGCCTCAACAGTAACCATTGTGTGTGTGGGCGGGGGGAATAATTGTATATGTACATACTATATAGTTACATAATCATATAAGACCTCTTTTCAGGGTATACTCTTGGTAAATACTTAGAATTCAGACCCTGCACTACTTTAAGCATCTTATCGGCCGCAGGTTCAGGCGTGTTTAGGGCTGAGGGTTGAGGGCCGCAGGTGTCCAGGATCCAGATCTTCCGGTTCCGCGGACACAGCATCGTACATGCCTCTTTTTATGTATATATAGATGTGGGTGTATGCATATTTTTATATATTTATATACTTTTGATATGCCTGTCTACCTATCTAACTATCTATCTATCCACCTATTTACCGACCTACCCGTCAATCTTTCCGACTATGTATCTACCTATCTATCGATCTAACGATCTGTCTATCTATCGACTGATCTGTCTAGTCAATCTATTAATCTATCTGTCTGCATCTTCTTACATGTAGTCAGCACAGCCAAGCCCAAAGTTGTTGACACATGTTTTGCGAGCTTGCCTCCTCAACATGGTGGTTCTAAACCTGCATGCCGCTCCTGAATGTCTGCTGTGTGATGATTATGATTAGATGGTCCTTGTCATGACCCAAATCTCACTGGTAAACGTCACTATTGATACGACTGCTGTTGGCGCTGGTACTGGTATTGGTCCCTGGTACCTGGTACCCGGTACCGGTAGCGGTACTGGTCTCCTGCTCCGGCTCCTGCTCCTGCTGCTTCTGCTGCTGCTGCTGCTACTACTACTACTACTACTACTACTACTACTACTTACTGCTACTTACTGCTACTTACTGCTACACTACTACACTACTACGCTACTACACTACTACACTACTACACTACTACACTACTACGCT